TCGTCGTCGTCGTCGTCGTCGTCGTCGTCGTCGTCGTCGTCGTCGTCGTCGTCGTCGTCGTCGTCGTCGTCGTCGTCGTCGTCGGCGTCGGCGTCGTCGTCGTCGTCGTCGTCGTCGTCGCCGCCGCCGCCAGCCGGACAGCCAGCCAGCCAGCCAAAAGTCAACCAGAGGTCAACCAGGGCCCAGCCAGCCAACCAGCCAGGCAGCCGGCCAGGCAGCCGGACGGCCAGCCAGCCAGCCAGACAGCCAGCCAGCCAGCCAGAAGTTAACCAGAAGCCACCCAGCAAGCCAGCCAGCGAGCCAGCAAACCAGCAAGACAGCCAGCCAGACAGCCAGCCAGCCAGCCAGCAAACCAGCCAGACAGCCAGCCAGTTAGCCAGCCAGCCCGCCAGCCCGCCGGCCTGCCAGCCAGTCAGCCGGCCAGCCGCGGCCAACTAACGATTATGGTTGGCTTTTGGTTGCCTCTGGTTGGCAGGCACCCGCCAGCCAAGTTACACGGGTTTTGGCCCCATTTCCAACCAGAACGAACCACAAGCCAACCGAGATCGGCTTGACACCATGTAGGTGCATCTGGTTGACTTCTGGTTGCTTTCTGGTTGGTCATGGGTTGTTCTGGGCATTCTAGCCGCTCACGTTACACGTGTTTAGGCCGCATTTCTAACCAGAAACCAACCAACTTCAACCGAACAGCACTTACACGTTGTAAACAAACTTTACACGTTGTAAACACGAACTCTGATCATCAGCACCATCATCATCAGCACCATCATCATCAGCACCATCATCATCAGCATCACCACCATCATCATCGTCATCATCATCATCAGCATCAGCATCATCATCAGCATCAGTAGCATCATCAGCATCCCTGGTATCATTCTCCTCCTCCTCATCCTCGTTGTCGTCCTCCTCCTCCTCATCCTCCCCTCCTCCTCCTCCCCTCCTCCTCGGCATCCTCCTCCTCCTCCTCCTCCTCCTCATCATCAGCATCAGCATCAGCATCGTCATCGGCATCGTCATCATCATCATCATCATCATCATCAGCAGCATCATCATTACCATCACCATCACCACCATCACCACCATTATCATCATTATCATCATAATCATAATCAGCATCAGCATCATCAGCATCATCAGCATCAGCAGCAGCATCATGATCATAATCAGCATCATCAGCATCAGCATCATCAGCATCATCAGCATCATCATCAGCATCGGTATCAGCATCGGCAGAAGCATCATCATCATTACCATCACCATCGCCATCGTCAGCAGCCGCATCAGCATCGTCATCAACAACAGCATCGTCACCATCACCATCAACCTGTCATCATCATCATGATTAGCATCATCATCATCATCATCAACAACATCGTCAGCATCATCATCATCAGCAGCATCCGCATCCTCATCCGCATCCTGATCCCCATCATCATCATCCTCATCCTCATCCTCGTCACCATCCTCGCCATCCTCATCATCGACATCCGCATCATCATCGTCAGCGTCAGCGGCATCGTCATAATCAGCACCATAATAATCAGTATCAACATAAATTCATCACCATCCTAATCAGCAGCATCCCCATCACCATGACCACACCACCACCAACAACAACATCATCGTCCTCGTCGCCACCACCAACACCATCGTCATCAGCATCATCATCATTGTCGTCGTCGTCACCGTCGTCACCGTCGCCCCTGCTGGGCTTACAGACTTCGAACACGCACCAAACCCCTAAAACAGCCAAGGTGTCACACATGACGGCGTCACGCACGTTGCTCCCAGGACCCCCCAAGACTAAAGGGCGAGTGACGCCATCCTCGTCATCAACGTCATCAGCAGCATCAGCAACAGCCTCGACCTCAACATCGTCGACAATGCTGCCATATTCGTCACCAGCAGCAGCGTCAGCATCATCATCATCAGCATCATCAGCATCATCAGCATCAGCATCAGCATCATCCTAATCAGCATCACAACTATCAGCAGCATGATCAGGAACAACATCAGCAGCAGCAGAATCAGCATCACTGTCATCATCAACATCAACATCAACAGCATCGTTAAGATTAACATCCGCATCATCAGCCTCACCGTCATCATCAGTATCATCAGCAGCAGCAGTATCAGCATCAGCATCATCATCATCATCATCATCATCATCATCATCATCATCATCATCATCATCATCCGCATCATCATCATTATCATCATCATCATCATCATCATCGTCATCATCATCATCATCATCATCATCATCATCATCATCATCATCATCATCATCATCATCATCATCGCCATCAACATCAACATCATCATTAACAGCATCATCATCATCATCAGCAGCAGCAGCATCGGCATCGGCATCATCCTCAGCACCACCGTCTATCGTCATCAGAATCAGCATTGTCATCAGCATCCGCATCGTCGCCAGCATCATCATTACCAGCACCAGCACAAACATCAAAATCATCACAAACATCAGCATCATAATCTGCATCAGCATTAACAGCATCATCATCAGCAGCATCATCATCAGCATAACCATCATCGTACGCAGAATCGTAATGACCAACATCGGCATCCGCATCGCCATCAGCATCGTCATCATCATCATGACAGGCAGCGTCATCACCATCACCACCACAAGCATCGCCACCACAACCAGCAGCGACAGCATCACCATTATCAGCAGCATCATTATCATCATCATCATCATCATCATCATCAGCGTCGTCAGCATCATCAGCAGCAGCAGCGTCAGCGTCCCGACCATCACCATCATTATCAGTATCATCCGCATTAGCGTCATCATCACCACATCACCACCACCACCACCACCATCATCGTCGTCGTCGACACCATCAGCATCATCAATATCAGGAGCATCATCATCATCATCATCATCATCATCATCATCATCATCAGCATCATCACCATCAGCATCAACATCGTCAGCGTCGTATTAATCATGGTGCTTGTAAAACGAATATGTATGTATGTACGTATGCATTAGAATGTGCATTAACCGAATAGTAAGCAACATCGTCATCATCAGCAGCATCATCGGATTCGTCATCAGCATCAGCATCATCAGCATCATCACCGTCATCAGCATCATCATGATCATCATCATCATCAGCATCATCATCATCATCGTCATCATCATCATCATCATCATCATCATCATCATCATCATCATCATCATCATCATCATCATCATCATCATCATCATCGGCAGCATCATCATCATCGTCGGCATCATCATCAGCATCATCGGCATCATCATTATCGCCACCAGCATCATCCTCGGCATCAGCATCAGCATCAGCATCAGTATCAGCAGCAACATCATCAGCATCCGTAGCATCATCAGCATCCCTAGTATCCGTCTCCTCCTCCTCATCATCCTCTTCGTCCTCCTCCTCATCCTCCCCTCCTCTTCCACCTCCTCCTCCTCGGCATGATCCTCCTCATCATCATCAGCATCAGCATCAGCATCGTCGTCATCATCATCAGCATCATCATCATCATTACCAGCACCATCACCACCATCACCACCACCACCACCACCACCACCATCATCATCATCATTATCATCATCACAATCATCATCAGCATCAGCATCAGCATCATCAGCATCATCATCAGCATCCTCATCCTCATCCTCATCCTCATCCGCTCCCTCCCTCCCGCCCTCCCCCAATCCCTCCCGCCAACCCTTCCCTCCCTTGCTGCCTCGTCTCATCTTCCCCCTCGTCACTCTCGCCATCCTGTCCGCCGTCTCCTCCTCCCCCCCTTCCGCCGAACCCTCACCTTTCCGCCCCCCTCCGCCCCCCTTCCCTCCCCTCCCCATTCTCCTCCTCGCCCCTCCCTCCCTTGCCCCACTCCCACCCCGCCCCACCACGCGCCAACACGCCCAGTCCTGCACCTCCCGGATCTTGCCGCGCGCCTCCAAGGCGGCCTCGCTGGCGCCGCGTGGGAGGAGAGGGATGGCGACGAGGAGGAGGAGTAGAGACGAGGAAAGAGGAGGAGGAGGAGGAGGAGGAGGAGGAGGAGGAGGAGGAGGAGGAGGAGGAGGAGGAGAGTAGGGAGGAGGAGGATGGGGGAGGAGAAGGAGGGAGGAGGAGGAGGAGGGGGGAGGAGGAGGAGGAGGAGGAGGAGGAGGAGAGGAGGAGGAAGGAGGAGGAGGAGGAGGGGAAGGAGGAGGAGGAGGAGGCCGAGTTCCCTCGTCACAAGCCCCTACGAAGGTTGATTTCCACTGAAGGGAACTGCCCCGTCGGGGGACACCCGTGCAAAAATCCTGAAGCGCGCCCAAACACCATCTCAGGACTTCAACGCTACGAATTAACCTGATTGTGAGGTCTTGGCGATCCTGAATCAGGCCAGAACACCACTCCTGTGACTTCAACACGGCGAATAAACGTAAATGTTGTACCCTGACAATCATGAACCGGTTCAGCACACCATTTCTGGTACGATACGGTAACCATGAGAACTCGTGCAACTCCTGCTAACTTTTAAACGAATGTACGCGGCGCTAAAACGAGAGCCACCACCTTTTGCAAGGGAGCCGCCCTCAATCCGTGAAGCTCTTGCAAACTTTAAAACGAGTGCACGCGGCGCCCAGGCGAGTCACATGTTGAAAACCAACCACCCTCAATCCGTGAAGAGCTTGCAAAATTTGAAAAAGAATATGCGCGGCACCACGGCAAGAGCCGCATTTTGAAAACCACCCGGCCTCAATCCGCTAAACTATTGTGCAGAGATCATTTGACGAATGTGCGCGGCGCTACGGCGAGAGCCACATGTTGCAGAACCACCTCGCTCTGCGGCGGAAGTCCGCGATTCCGCATGGAAACACGACCCGTCGCTAATCCACGCCCCCTTGATCCATGCTTGCGATCGCCAGAGGGGGGGCGGAGGGCCCCGGCGCTGTCCCTCGACCTCCCTTCGGCGCGAACACCTCACGACGAGAGGCCTCTGGCACTGCTCGGCCTCCCGAGGGGGACGCTCGGCACCGCGGCCGCAGGGAAGGAGCTCGATCTTCCGCCCGAGGGAACTCGAGGAGCGCGGCCTCCTCACGAACTCTCCACGTCTCCGACGCCGTGACTTGTTGCAACGGCGTCGACCCCCAGAGGTCTGGACCCCTCCACCGGGACCGGCGTTTCGCCCCGAGTCGATCTTCGCCGGTCCTGGGGCCCAGCGCGGGCCCCTGGAGGCAGAGAGCTGCCATTGAGGTGGGGGCCCCTCGAGCCACGAGATGGCCTCTGGGGAGGTGGCGGCAGCGGCAGCGAATAAGAGAGGCGGCAGATGAGGGCCGCGGGATCCCGAGGCCTCCGGCATCTTGGCGAGCTGCCGGAGCTGCACCCGCGCCCCCGTCTCGTCCAGGACGTCGATGGCCTCTCGAGCGCGGCCAGCGCGGCCGGGATCCGCCGCCGCCGTTGGATCGTTAGGAGGCAACTACTGGGAGGTTTTCGTCGGAAGGATGAAAGAGGATTAAGCCCCACTGGGGGGCTGTTATGCCGGAGTGGGCCTCGGATTCAGCCGGATTAGGCGGGATCAAGCGGGATCAAGCCAGATTAAGCGGGATTCAGCCGGACTAAGCCGGATGTCGGACCAGGGCAAAAACCGAATTTGACCTCCCAGGAGGTGCATGACGTCAACTCACCACCCCACCGAGTCTGGGCAGGCTGTCCCTGAGCACAGGATCGGTGCCCGCGTGCTTCTGCCCTCGCCAGGCCAGGAGGGCGCCTGCGCCGATCCTGGCCCCGGGATGGGCCTGGCCGGGATCGGCTGCAGAGGTGGTCCATTCACGCTCCCCCCGACCCGACCACGGCAGGAGCCCATGTTTGCACCGCTCGCGAAAACTCCCGCGACGGGCTCCGTTGCCCCCCCCCTCCACGCTCTCATGGTGACGTCGCGATTCGCGCCAGCGCCGCCTGGGAATGAGCCACTCTTGGGCATCCATCCTTCGGCATTCACAGACTGCGAGCCGGCGCGAATCGTGACGTGGCCCGCCCCCTCCAGCCCTCCCCCCCTGGTCAGGGGTCACGCCCACTATCGCCAGGGGATCAAGAAGGTCTCCAGACGAACCCCACATCCCCAGGGCCGCCCCCCGGCGCCTTGTCTGGCAGGAAGCGGTTCTGGACGTACTGCGAGGACAGCTTCACGCACGCCTCCAGCGCCTCGTCGGCGAACCGCAGCTTGTGGTGCGCCTGGGCGGGAGACGTAAGACTCAAGTTCTGGGGGCCCAGCAGAGCCATCAAGAAACGACGGTAAAACTTGACGCGAGGTTCCGCTGCAAACGCGAAGCGGACCGTAAAAATTCACGCCGGGACGGTCGAAAGCGGCGACAATGAAGAAACACATATATATATATATATATATATATATATATATATATATAGATATAATATAGATATATATATAGATATAGATATAGATATAGATATAGATATAGATATAGATATAGATATAGATATAGATATACCGATACCACTACTCACCAGACTCCTCCAGGGGCGCGTTCTGACCACGATCTCGAGGCGAATCCAGCCGCGGAGCCGCGGCGGCGAGGGTGGAGTGGCGGTGTCGGCATCTTCTTGGACGCCGGAAAGGGGTACGGAAAGAATGGGCACAATGGCCGACAACACATGCTGCCCAAAACCGACAGCGGCCGCTGTTGGGCAGGCGGCTTTCTGTCTGCAGAGAATCACGCCCGCGACGGCGCAAACAGCGAGTCCTGTTCAAAATGAACAGGAACTACTGTTCGGCATCGTACCCATTCTTTCCGTACTGCGAGGCGGGGATTGAGTCGTATCCCACCGCCTGGGAGCCGACGTCCTGGTGCCCCAGCGGGCGGTGGCTGTGGATCTATTTCGGCCCCCGGGGGCCCGAATATGTCCATACCCACCGCCTGCCGAGGCTCCGAGAACTGACCCTCCGGGCGCTGGATATGGTCAAATTCCTGCCCCGGACGTACCCATTTCGATCGCCCCCGACCTTCCCCTCCTCTGAGGCAAGCCGGAGATCTGCCACAAGCTCGAGCCGTGCGCGTCCCCGAGTCTCGGCGGGCAGGCCACCCCCCCGTGGCCCCCTCGGCCGGAGGCCGCCTCGCGCGAAGGGGGCCCGGGCTGCCACAGGGCCGGCGCGCGCCGGCCTGTAGACGTCCACAGCCACTGCCGCGGGGCCCTGTCCCGGGGACTCGGGTGATGGGCATGTGTTTCACCACCACCACCATAAGTTGGAGGGGGGGGGATCCTCCTCCGCCTCCTCCTCCCCCCCCCCTCCTCCTCCTCCTCCTCCTTCTCCTCCTCCTCATCCCCCCCTCTAACTTATGGTGGTGGTGGTGGGAAACAAGGCCATCATCGGGGAGCGGTGGACACACATCTTAGCGGGCGAAGAACGGTATATCATAAGCTTTTTCGCTGTCGGGGGCGCCTGTCCCAGGGCGGCTAGAAAGTTTATACCCCTGCGGTGGCACCGTAG